ACTTTTTGGCCCAAGGGCCACATTAGGATTGCAAAACGGTATGGAGGGTCGAGTAGGGAAGGCTGTGCCTCCCCAAACAGCCTGACCCCCGCCCCCTATCCAACCCCTCCCACTTCCTGCCCCCTGACTGCCCCCCTCAGAACCCCTGCACCATCCAACCCCCCTCCCCGCTCCTTGTCCCCTAACTGCCCCCTCCCGGGACTCCTCCCCAACTGCCCCAGGACCCCACCCCCTAGCAAACCCCCCTGCTCCCAGTCCCTTGACTCCCAGTCCCTATCCACACCCCTGCCCCTTGACAGGCCCGCCAGGATCCCACACCTATCCAACCTCCCCTGTTCCCTGTCCCCTGACCCCTATCCATACCCCCACCTCCTGACAGGCTCCCCGGGACTCCCACGCTTATCCAAGCCCCCCGACCCCCCATCTACCCCCCAGAAACTCCACCCCATCCAACCGCCCCCTGCTCCCTGTCCCCTGACTTCCCCCCGGGACCTCCTGCCCCTTATCCAACCCCCCGGCCCCCTTACCATGCCACTCAGAACAGAATGTCTGGCAGCCACGCCGCCCAGTCGGAGCCAGACATGCTGCTGCTCTGCTCGGCAGGAGCGCGCAGCCCCGCCGCCCAGAGCACTGCCTGTGCGGCGGCATCGCTGCAGGGGACAGGGACAGCAGGGGAGAGGTTGGGGGCTAGCCTCCCCGGGAGCTCAAGGGCCAGGCAGGACGGTCCCGCAGGCCGTAGCTTGCCCACCTCTGGTGTAGAACCACCACTTTAAAATATCATCTTCAATAAAAGTAACTTTGTTCCTGTGAGGCAAAGTTTCACCTTTGGTGAAAGTTCTAGTCTTGAACACTGCTCCTCATGTCATTTTATGATGACAACAGTGGGGATGGAACTGTTCTGTTCAGTTTCTAGTACAGTTTCACTAGGTATAAGATTCTGATCTTGCTTACACTGGTGAGTTCACACAGGCATAACGTATAAGAAGGTCACTTCTGGTCTTGCTTACACTGGTGACTTTAGTGATTACTGCTAATTTATACTGATGTGTCTGAGAGCATAGTCAAAACCCCATGTTCCTAAAAGACTGATACATTTTAAGGCCAAAAGGAGCCATTATGATAATCTAGTCTGACCTCTTGCACAACATAGATCATAAAATGTCACCTAGTAATTCATGCTCCAAGCCCATAGCTTCTGGAAGTCTGAGCACACAAACAGGGTGATTCTGTTCTTCTTTCAGCAGTGCCAATGTGACTTTCCCTGGCTATTTAATTGGGAATAGTGCTTAGTACAGAGAGATGGAGACACTCATCTAGGAATGTTGTATTTTATTTCCACTTTGAATTTCTTTGTTCTCATGACTGGATGACTTACAAGCCAAAATACCCAAATAGAGTTACAATTCTCCTAATTCATTGGTTATTAAAAAAAAAAGAAGAAAGGATTTGGCAAAATTAAGGTGCAAAAAGGCCAGATTTTCAAAGTACCTCCAAAAAGGCACCTGTATAATTTATACGTATATCCATTTGTCTAGGCATCTTCGTATACAAATTGAATAATTACACAACTGCATGCTTGCTTGCACAACTGGGTGTTTAGTAACTTGGCTGCCTGTATACATACACATGTGGACTCTTGGTTCCTCTGTAGGGATAGAGACAAAACCCACTGAAGTCAATAGAAGTCTTTTCATTGACTTCAGTGGTCACTGTATTGGGTCCTAGAGGCTGCATCCTGGCACTGCCCTAACTCCAGATGCTTGCTGCTTCTGGACCAGCTGCGAGTCTGAAGAGGGAGAAGTTAATTGAGAGTCAGTCCAGTAAAAGTAGATTCCTGAGCCATCCTGTACGGTGTCTCCACTAGGATTTTAAAACAAGAGAGCTAACTCGAGTTAGCTATCTTGTTATAAAAAAAAAATTAAACAAACAAACTGTCATAACTATAAAGGGAAGGGTAATAGCTGTCCTGTGTACAGTATTATAAAATTCCTCCTGGCCAAAGACTCCAAAATCCTTTTCCCTGTAAAGGGTTAAGAAGCTCAGGTAACCTGGCTGGCATCTGACCTAAAGGACCAATAAGGGGACAAGATACTTTCAAAT